GATTTATTTATTTTTTCATTTTTGAAAGAAATTAACCCTTTTATTTAGCAAGAATGCATTAAAATGATCAAAAAGCATAATATTACTGTGACGAGTGGGGGCGGGGCCGAGAGCTGTGGGAACGGAGCGAGGCCGGTGGAGTAATTGATAATGAGCGACACCTGCACCACTCACCGGTCTCGAGACCCACGGAGGAGCTACGTCAGTGAAAGACGAGAGAGGACCAGGCCTGGATTTTATTTTGTGTTTTGTGTGGGGCAGTCGTCCGGGAGGGGCTGCCGCTTTTCTTTCGTTTTGTGTTTTTTTTTTTTTATTAAAGTATTTAAATGTTCGCCGGTTCCCGCCTCCTTCTTCCCGTGACTACGAACTGTTACATAAACATTTAAATGGTGGCTGTCATAAAAATATATAAATTAAACATTGAAGAACAGTAAAAGTTATAATGATATATTATATGGTTAGCAAAATGCTCCTCTCTACAGTTAATTTTTCTAATGAGTTTATGGTCACCGAATATGTTTTTTTCTGAGGTAACTGTGACATTACGTGACACTGTTTACAAGCCGTTATACACGCTACAGCGATCTGTCACTCCACATTAAACAGCGCCAAAACGCCATTTATTGTTTGAATACTGCAATACAATGAACATAATTTGAAATCTGATACTTTGTTTCATATCAAAAATACCAAAGCACAATGCTTATTGCGATTTATTGGATGGGAAATGTCCTTCAATGTTCCATCCATTAACTGAAAACAGGCTACACTAATCGATTCTCGGGATTTAAGAATCGATATCGTTTCGTAAAAATGAGAATCGATCATAATCGAGATATCAATATTTTTTACCCAGCCCTAGTTATCTTGTGTATATTCCTGCTCTGTCTATCTATTATTCTGAAAGATGACCCAGCACAGCACAGCATAGAATACACACAATTTTATCTCCGCACCAAAGTGAATTGACTGAGAAGGATTTTAACAATTTCATCTTTATTTCTAAAATGAAAGGGACTAAGATTTCAGTCAATTATAGATAAAAGCAGGACTTGTATTTTATCTATAATTACACAACTTGTATACACTAAATGGCTGAGGGTCACACACTAACATGCTTTCAAGTTGTCTCACACAAAAATATATGCCTTGTAGATATTAAACATGTTTCATATCCACAGACTGGATGAAATCAAAGTCTGAAGCTAAAAAAATCATTGTCTGCACCCATCAGACATTACGAAATGTTTTTGTGGAGTCAGCTTTTAGTCTCTTACCTTTTGGTTGCTGGTGAGCTGTTGTCCTTCTTGGAGCTGGAGGGGGATGGCAGTGTGCCGCCCTTCTTAGGCAGGACAGTACCGTTATTGACCGTGGGTCTCAGGGGCAGGGCTGCAATCATCGGTCTAGCTGAAAGATGGAAGGACACATGGGCAGAATTACACACAGCACTGCAGTCAGACGTTTATTGCCTGTTGTTTTGGTCACACTTTATTTTAAACTTTTGCCTCAACAAATTCCTAATGTGCTGCTTATTGATAGAAGTAGCTGTTAAGTTTAGTCATTGGGTAGGATTAGGCATGTAGAATATAGTCATGCAGAATATGTGCTATAAGTACTAATAAAAAGTCAATGTTAATAATAGGCATGCTAATAAGCAACTAGTTAATAGTGAGAATTGGTCCCTATACTAAAGTGTTACCATTGTTTCATACAAACTAGGTCCTCTTTAATGTCAAGCTTTTAATAGTTAACTTCACATTCTCAAAGGCTCTATGAAATCACTTGACAAGAACAGCTTTTTTCCTGTTTAGAAGTATTTCCTATTAAAACAGGAAGTCTGGGCAGTACATATAGAGGGACTTATCCCTTTTGTTTTAAATGGCCAAAAAGCCTTTGTTACGTCATAGTCATGAACAATCATTTGATACTTGTTAGTTGAATGTGGTTTTAGTGTAACTCTAGACATCATTGGACAAAAAAATGTGTAGTGCAGGATGAGTCATCAATATTCTTGTGTCATTGTCCAAAAAGCGAAATGTGAATTTTAAGTGCATATATCTGATAAAAGTACATTTTGTTTATGGGTATATTAACATACAGATGAATTCAAAGCTAACACACATGGCAAATGCCATAAAACTTTAAATTTTAATTGAAATTGAATTTTACTCTTCTTAATTTTAATTACCATTCAAAAGTTTGAGGCAATTCATTAAAAAAAAAAAACATTTTTTGACTCTGCCGATTTGGTGTTTTAGAAACATTTCTTATTATTATCATGTTTAAAACAGTTGTGCGGGAAACTTTTTTTTAAGGATTCTTTGATGAATAGAAATGTTAAAAGAACAGCATTTATTTGAAACAGAAATTTTTTGTAACATTATACATTCCTTTAATGTTACTTTTGATCAATTTAATGCATCCATGTCGAATGCATCACACAGAAACATTTCCAGATGTCAAATTCAATCAATATAGGAAGAACTGGAAAGCCGAGGTCTCTATACGTTACTGCCGCGTTACATTGCTGACAGAATGCAGTGTTTTATAATCTAGAGATTGTAAAAAGGATGTAGCACACGCACTGTCGAGTCAAGTGCCAGTGGATTAGAGACCTGCTCCCGCGAGACTCGACGCAACAGAGCGCGGCGCGGGACAAGATGGGCAAGTGCTGGTGCGGGCGGGTAGACATTCGTGTGTGTGCGGGATGCGGGAGAATAAAATGATTCACGGGACTCCCGCAAAATAGAAATATCTAAAACAAATAAATTGTTATTCATCTATTGCACAAAAGCAACATGAACTAATATAAAATATAAATTAGAAAAAATATTATACAATATAAGACATTTTAAGTATTAAAAGGACAAACTGTCTAGTGGAGAAAGGTTCAGGAAACTTAAAAATGTCTTTATACCTTTGATATTTTTATACTTTATACTTTCTGTTTCGTCTATCCCCTTCTTAAATTTGTTATTACTTTTAAAAAAGAGGGTTCACGCGCTTCGGATGAGCGACCACACAGATCTTCTCACTGCGCGTGCGAGTTCACGTCTTCTGGCTCTTTAATATTTAAACTGGCATGGCTTAAATGAGTTTAGTGGCACTGGCATGGCTTAAATGAGTTTAGTTTAAACACAGATAGCAATGTGTGCTGTTCAGGTCTCACCTGCGCTATCAACACGTGATGACGGCATAAATGACAGTTATTTCAGCATACAGCACTCGCATTGATTAAAGAGTGACTGGTTTGTCCACGTATTGTTTTTTTTCTCTCTCATCGCTCTTGTTGTAATGTATTGGGAAGCCAGAATTTGTATCCATCAATATTGTTTTTTTCTCTCTCTCATCGCTCTTGTTGTAATGTATTGGGAAGCCAGAATTTGTATCCATCAACAGAAACATGCATTAGCTGAACTCTAACAAACCATATTACAGATGCATTGTCAGATTTAAGTTGAACCGCGGTCCTAGTGTATGCCGAACCGTGTGTGGAGAACGGTACGGTTCGATTTTTTACAGAGAACCGTTGCACCCCTACTAGTAATGTAACTAATTACTAATTACTTTTGAAATAAAGTAATCAGAACAGTAACGTGATTACTTTTAAAAGGAGTAATCAGTAATCAGTAATTTGATTACATTTTCAGAGTAACTTGCCCAACACTGACTGGAACAGAGCATTGACCAGAGTAGGTTTTTTCTTGCTTGTTCAGACTGTCCTGCAATAGGTTGAGCCACGAACGGACTCCATTCAAATGCAATTGTGGTACACAGAAGTCTCAGTTGGTGAATATCCCTTTGTGCAATTCAAGTACTTAATAGTGCATCCACACCTGCAGTCTAACTGCTGATGGAAAATATTTTTGAGAGCCTTTATTTACATTACCCTATGCGTCTGCATTATTAATTATTCATCACTGCAGATCTGCTTGAATGTGTTATGAATGTGTAGGCAGCGGGACAGAAATACAGTAGAAAAAATAAAAGAAAGATCGAGGCAAAAGCGCAAGTGAGAAATAGCAGAGCAAATTTTTTTTGTTTCAAAGAGATCAGCCTGCACAGAGCGTCAAGGATTATGCAGAAGCAAAGCGTGACTCATCTCGCACACACTTCAAACAGGCGGAGGAATGGATGAAGTGAACATGAGCTAGCTGAAGTACAACGAAAGTAAACATTTCTTTATTGGTTTAAGGAGTCTTGGACCCCAGTTTGACATTTGGTAGCACATATTCATGCAGTCTGGCTAATTAGTGTCTGACATCAAAGCAGCAAGTGTGTTTCAAACCTTTGAGACGGTAAAGAAATGTGACTAATTACTCACTTTATCCTACAGTTCAAAGGATTAGGTGGATTTAGTAAAGCTTTGTTAAACAGTCACCGAAGAATCAAGATATTTATGGCGATAAGCCACTTTCCATGTCTGTTAGTCCAAAATTAAACTCATTCTTGAGATTTTTCAAGGTCTCTCATTTTTGAGAGATATTACAATGTGGATGTGGTAGCTTATCAGCCTAGCATTAAATGTAATTAGGACTGGAGTGTTTGTTAAGCACACTAACAAGCATCTTATAGTGTTAATCTCACTAAACTCAAAAAAACTAGACAAATGTGAGAAAGAACTATATGTCACACATGCTGGAGTGGAATTAGGGATGCACAATATATTGATGATCTTAAGAGTATCAGTGGGTTTTTTTAATGATCTGTCTGATTAGGTTGACGTTGGAAGAAAAAAGTTCCACTCTTTTTCTTAGCCAAGTTATAAAAAAAAAAAAAAAGTTAAACATCATGATTTTATCCATGATTTCAGTTGTGTAAAAGTCAATTAATTTACTCAAATTTACTCACCCTCATGTTGTTCCAAACCTGTCTGACTTTTCTGCAGAACACAACGGAAGATATTCTAAAGAAAAACTGTTCGGTTACCAACATTCTTCAAAATATTTTCTTTTATGTTCAATAGAAGAAAGACATTTTTGAAAGTTTTGAAACGACATGAGAGTGAGTAAATGATGACAGAATGTTTTTGGTGGACTATCCCTTTTTAAATGAACTTTAGTGTGAATGCTGTCTTAAAAAAAGACAAATTATATATTAAAATTAGTGCTGGGCAATGATTAATCGCGATTAATCGCATCCAAAATAAAAAAATTTTTGTGTACATAATATATGTGTGTGACTGTGTACTGTGTATATTTATTATGTATATATAAAGACACATACATACAGTATATATTTAGAAAATATTTACATGCATTTACATGCATATAGTTATATTCATATAGTTTATACTATATATACATATATATTTAATGTATACATTTTTTTTCTTAAATATATACATGCATGTGTGTGTATTTATATGTACATAATAAATACACAGTACACACACATATATTATGTACACAAAAAAATCAAGATTTTTTTAAAATGTAAATTATAATCATTATACTGGTTATCAGTCATAACATAAAAATTTGTATATTATTTAATATTAATTAAATAATTAATTGTTTTATTTTAATTAATTTGAAAAGAATTTAGTATAAGATAAATTAAGCTTCTCTAAATTAAATCAAGTAGATTAAGCATTAATCTCTCTACAGGAGTCCTGTTACATGGCTCGTGATTTATGCAAGTGATGCTGAACTTTTAATAACAAACGGAGTCACTAAAATACCCGCATGTATATAACAGCATGCAAATAAACAAATCTGTTTTGCACATGAATAAACATTCCGTATATAAACATGCTTACGTTACAAATACCAAAGCAAATACCAAATCTAATTAATATTTAAAATGGAACCTACTGATCTTGGATTATAAATATCAGCCAACATTTCTATATCAGTGCATCCCTAAGTGGAAATATAACTCATATAAAACTCAGTCCTCTGTGTTCAAGCATTTTTGAAGCCAGTGATGTCAGTTCCAGTCATGTGACTAAAGTGTGCTCTTTGTATTAGTGAGTAACTCTTGACAAGTGAGACATGAGCCCCACTGCCTACCTGGCTTCCCAACACTGCTGTCAGAGGAGGGAGAGTCTCTCCTCACTGCTGCTTCTAAACACGCGCACAGTATGAGAGAACAGTTGAGGGAAGGGAATAGGAGGTAGAGAAGAAAGGAAATGAATAGCAATAGTAGGGGTGGGATGGAGATGAAAAATAAGAAACGGCACACAGGTGGTTCTGTAGTGTAGAGAACTGTTCTCCAGTGAGGCTCAAAGAAATTGCTGAGCATGTTCTAACAAAGCAGCTGAGATTAAATGCAAAGCTGAAATAAACAAAACGATCTGGAAAGTCTAGGACTTTCCACCAGATGAGGTGACAGAGGGTCTGTGTGGTACCTTTGGTTGGTCCTTTCCTGTTGAGCATGGCCTGCTGCTCCTCTGAGATGTTCAGTCTCCTCACCACGTCAGCCAGCGCCGACTTGAGCAGCTGAATCTCATCCTCCTGCATCTGAACCCGCTGCTCCAGAGAGGCGATCCGGTCCGTCACCTCCATACTGCTCGCCGCCGAGGAACTGTCATCTATAACACACAAAAAATCAAGTATATGGAAAGCTAATGCTGAAATTTAAATTTCATAACAGTTATAAGTAAGTACCACTGTTAAAAAATAGGGATCTTCAAATAGGGTTCACCATATGTGTCTCAAAGAGCCATTATTAAATGATTATGTTTAATATTATTAATATTAATAATGGTTCATAAAATATTAAAAATGTGTTTAATGTGGAAAATATTTACTTCCTATTAGGTTGTATTTTTATTTTTACCCACTACTAAATTAATGTTAGATGTATACACCTCAAATTATGCCATAAAACGATGGCTGTCAATAGAATAACATAATTACAATAATTCTCATTATTTCCAACCACACTGTAAAAAAAAAAGTCATTTTAATGATAAAAGCCAGTAAAAATTATACAGTACAAACCTGTTAAATGGTTAACTGTAAGTTTCTATTGTGAAAATTATATATATATATATA